TATGATCAAAACATTTTAGGGAACTTACAGGAGTAAAAACTGGAATAGTTAATTGTAAACAAATAAGTACATTTACTGTACTGATTTTGGGTACTTATTGTATAGTAACTTGAGTATTTCCGATTTTATGAGACTTTAATACACTTTAATACACTCCACTACATTTATAAAATATAAAATATATGGATTTGTAATGATAAACAGTATATAGAGTAAAGCATGCAACAAGTCATTTAATATTCAGTGTCAACTATTTTGATTATTATAATCCCTTAATTGTTTTTGAGTAATTTTTTAAAGAAATTCTCTTTATAATCAACTGGTGTGAATTTTGGTTGCGGATGTATTTCCCTTAATACATTGCGCCTTTAAAATGAAGATAACTTTTTAACCTCAGATCCCACAATGTCCCTCCATAAAAATGCAATAAATGTCATATAAAATATTCTTTTTCACTTTCCACTGCATCAAATCTTTTCAAACAACTAACACTTCAGACCCTAACCCATAAATATAAAGTCTTATTTTTTAAATATTTTTTTGTTTTTTATGCCCTTTTTGTCATAAGATGTCATGTGTTATTGGTAATGTGGTGTGTTCACAATTCAAGGCATTAAACAACAAGCTTTTACATGCATGTGCTCCAAACATTTGGCAACACTTTGGTCCAAACCTTCTGCAAACTGTGGCACAAGACACACTGCCTCTGCTTGGCTGTGGCTCCTCCTCTCCTCTTCCTCCCCTGACATGGACGCTGGACCGGGCCTTGTAGGACCAGGCTGGCTGCAGATGGGTCCTCTGGGCAAATGGCATCATCACCTAAACCTGTTTCCGCTGTATTTTGAAGAAGCGGCTTAGCTGTTATTAGGTATTCATGGGAAAGCATAATAAGATTATAGTATATCAAAAATATGTGTTATAATGGGGTCATGGGTCAAGTCGGGCCCCAAGGTGAAAGGTTTAGGTATATATGCAACCTATCCTAAACACCTTACAATATAGGAGATCATGGAATTTAAAAAATAACAATGAAAAACAAATCCTGGCCAGGTTTCATACAATTAGCCTTTAAACTGACATATTGAGAATCGATCAAATCAAATAAGCAGAATGTACATGTTTGGTCCCCCAAGGTGCCTCGAGGGTTAATACTTGGGCAAACCTTACAACTTCAACAAATCGATGATAGGAGAGTTTCTTATTTTCACCGTTTATAGAGGCTGAACTCAGCTGATACCCTGCAAATAAAAACAACTTTGCATTTCTAGATGCTTCCCAAGCAAGAAACACATCATCACAGAACAATTCAGTCTCATAGATAGAGCATAGATTCAGGTGGACAACTAATGAAAGTATTAATTTGTTCATTCATTAACACATGAACACAACCAACAAGCTTCATTATGCGATTTGAAAGCAGATGAGCAGCAGCTCTGCAGTCTTTGTGCAGCAGAAACCTTTCATGATGTTGAGGATGAGGCTGAGGATGATGCCCCCTGCAGGCGGTGGAGCGATGTGCATCTGGTACTCTCCCAGAGGAACAACCCAGGCGTCGCTCACTGTGACATTATACTCGGCCAGGTCCTGCAGCGTGAGACTTCCTCCTGAGCAAAGAGACAAACGGTTCTGCTGAGCAGAGCTGAACAAAACTCCACATAATCAAGACTTTTAATGGATCCCGGTGGCTCAGCCAGAGCCGATTGATCTGTTCATTAGTAATTGGATCATTGTGCAGAGGCAGAGATAGAGAAGGGTTGGGAAACACAATACCTGCCTCCTGTACGTCACGGATTAAATCCTCCGCTATTCTCCCCGAGTAAAAAGCGTCCAGGTGTTATGAAGGATGCTGTGAAAAAGGTCCATTGAGGGTCTTTCCTACCGTAGTGTTTGGGTCTCGTTTGTATTAATGTTCAGGATGTATCGACCCTGAATTTCGGGGATACGAAATCCTTCTCTGGCTGTGATCTGGAGCCAGGGTTGGCCCGTCTACGGTCTGGCCAACACCTGGTCCAATTGAGCTACAGTTACTGGTTCTGGTTCTGCAGTAGGCGTCTGTTCTTCTATTTCCCGGCTCCTTTCCTCCTGCTTCATCGCTGGCCACCAGAAGGGTTTTGCCTCCTGTGCCACAAAATCCTACACACTGGACTTCATACTACAATACCAATGTCTTTATCCATTGTTACAACAATACTGTTGGACATAATGTTCTCATTACTTCAGATCTTACTTTCCTTCTGTGTGTAAATAAAGTTCTCCACATGTGAACTATACTGAAATCCCCAACAGGGAGACACACTAACAGCAGAATATTTAGGTTGCTTCCTCCTCCAGCAGGAGCCCAGTAACCCAGTGACCTAATATCTAACACAACAGACAGAACAAAAACAACAAGTGAGGCTCCCTACGAGGAAGACACAACGATGATGATGTAATACAGTACCTGACATCTTAGAGGAGTTACCAGGACATGACTCCAGCAGGTCCGGTTTAAAGCTCCTGGGTACG